GTCACACAGAAGTCCCTTTAGCCATATCAGCTTACACGCGATTGATGCTATTGCATGATATTTAGCTTCGGCACTTGATCTTGCGATGACAGTTTGCTTTTTGCTCTTCCACGTGACCAAGTTTCCACCGACAAAGGTGCAGTAACCAGTTGTGGACTTGCGATCGATTGCATTTCCTGCCCAATCCGCGTCACAGTACCCCATGATTTGGGTGTTTTCATTCTTCTTCATGATGATGCCACGACCCACGGACCCTTTTAAGTAATGTAAGATCCTTTTGACGAGGTTCAAATGATCGATTATGGGAGAGTGCATGAATTGACTGGCGGTACTCACTGAATATGTGATGTCAGGCCTGATGATTGTTAGATAGATTAACTTACCAACCAGTCTCTGATAGTGGCTGATATCTGAGAGTTGCGTGCCCCCTAAGTTAAGTTTGAGCTTGCTATCGAGAGGAGTATTTGCAGGCTTAGCATCACTCATTTTAGCATCCTTGAGTAGGTCCAGGATGTATTTACGTTGATTAAGAAATAGTCCCTTGTGAGAAGTTGCCATCTCTATTCCAAGAAAGTACTTCAACACCCCAAGATCTTTAATTGCAAATCTTTGTTGAAGTGACTGTTTGAGTTTGGAAATCTCTTCAGCATTATCACCTGTAATTATTAAGTCATCCACATATATCAACACAACCAATTTGCCCACAGCCCTAGTATGAACAAACAATGATGAATCTGCATTGCTTCTTGTGAAACCAATGCTATTAAGCACTGAATTTAGTTTGGCATACCAAGCTCGTGGAGATTGCTTCAGTCCATAAATCGATTTGTGCAATTTACACACTAAATCAAGCTCATGGCATTGAGGATGCCCTGGTGGCAATTTCATATAGACCTCTTCTTCAAGATCACCATGTAGAAAGGCGTTCTTCACGTCCATTTGGTATATGGACCAACCCTTATTAACAGTAACGGACAATAAAACCCTAATTGAGTTCATTTTTGCAACAGGTGCAAAAGTTTCTTTTTAATCCACCTCAAATGTTTGTGTGAATCCCCGAGCCACCAGCCTTGCTTTATGCCTCTCAATTGAACCATCTGAATTAAACTTGATCTTATAGATCCATTTGCAACCCACTGCATTTTTTCCTTGTGGAAGTTTGGTGATGCTTCAGGTTTTGTGTAGGTCTAGTGCTTTGAGTTCTTCTCTCATTGCTTCTTTCCACACATCTTGGTTGTTAGCCTCATGAAAGTTTTGAGACTCACTGTGACTTAAGATGGTGCTAAGAAATGCAGCATGAGATGGAGTCAACTTTTGATACAACACATAATTGGAGATTGGATGCTTGGGATTGTAAGTGACAAAATCTTGAAACCTTGTAAGAGGTTGTCTATTACGCATAGGATTGCATCGTGGTGCTGGTACAGTTGTCTCACACTCGTTCAAATTTTTAGCCACACTTTGAAGATTATCTTGGTTGTCGATGTCATCATCAAGCATAAAACCATCAGGATGAATGCCTTCATTGTTACCTTCAGTGAGTGGTGCATGTGGTTCATCATTATTGGAACCTCTTCTTGTTGAAGCATTATTGAGCCCGATTCTTGGTAGAGGAAACACATCAAATATACACTCCCCCTGACTTGTGGTTTCAAGGGACTTGCTGAAAAAAGGATTAGTTTCATGGAATCGAACATTTTTAGTTATAATCATTTTTCTCAGCTGAGGATCATAGCACTTATATCCCTTTTGTGTTGATGAATAACCAAGAAAAATACATTTAAGAGCTCTAGGATCCAATTTATCTCGATGATGTGGTTGAACATGAGTAAAGCAGACACAACCAAAGACTCTAAGATGTGAAAGGTTAATTTTCCTTCCGTTCATGACCTCAAGAGGAGATTTAAAATCTAAGACTCGGCTAGGAAGTCTATTAATGATGTAGACAGCAGCCATGACTCTTTGAGACCAAAATATTTTTGGTACATTCATTTGTAACATTAATGCTCTAGTATTTTCAAGTATGTCACGATTTTTTCTTTCGGCTACACCATTTTGTTGAGGTGTGCCAACACAACTTGTTTGATGCATGATACCATGATTGCTCAAATATTGTGTCATGATATGGGATATGTATTCGGTGCCATTGTCAGATCTTAAGGTTTGAATTTGAGAGGAGAAATGTTCTTAACAAGATTATTAAAATCCGTAAACACTTCCATTACTTCACTCTTAGACTTTAAAAGGTACAACCATGTGGCTCTAGAGAAATCATCAACAAATATTACATAATATTTATAACCATCCAAAGATTCACACGTTGGTCCCCATACATCTGAGTGAACAAGTTCAAACAACTTACTGGCCTTAGATAAGGATGAGTTAAAAGGCAATCTATGGCCTTAGATAAATGACAGGTTTCACATGGAATTAAATCCTTCCCTAAGTTTGGAAACAAAGAAGACAAAATAGGTTGAGAAGGATGAGCTAGACGTTGATGCCACAATTGATTATTTTGGGATGAATTGGACTTGGCTTGAAACCCTTTGGAACTGCTCTTTGATATGTAATAGAGATAAAACCCTTCACCAATCGTCTTCTTGGTGACACAATCCTGAAAAATGACATTGTGAGAAGAGAAGATGGCTAAACAATTCAAGGTATTGGTGATTTTTCCCATAGATAGGAGTTGGAAAGGAAAAGAAGGAACATATAAGGCCACTGACTCAATTTTGTCTGACATTAAGTTGATTTTTCCCTTTCCTAAAACCTTGGCACTTTCACCATTTGCAGTTGACACTTGAGAAGGTTTTGATAATTTTTCAAACTTATGAAACTTAGAAACTTGGTTGGTCATATGATCTGTGGCACCCGAATCAACAATCAAAAAATCATGCAACATATTTACATTAAGAGCAGTTTTGAATGAATTCATGATACCTTGCATGTCTTCTTGAGGTATGTGTTCAGTGTCTTCCATGAAACCAGCAAACTTGCCTAGCAAAGCTGTTGAGTTTTCATCTTCAAAATTGACCGTTTGATCACTTTCAGTCCCTTATTTCTTGCTTTGAAGATACTCTGCAAACTCATTTATGAGTGCAGCCGGATTTGCTGTGAAGCTTTTGAGTATGTCAGACCTATTTGAGGTTGAGGCAGATGCATGGTTGGCTCTGTGTGTAACTCGGTTCAGCTTTTGAAAGCCCTTGTTGTCCTTCATAAAATCAGGTTTTAATTTTGGATGTAAAATACAACATGTCTCTTTAACATGACCGGTATAGTTGCAGTGATGGCACTTCAAGTGTGGATTCTTCCTTTTGTATTTTCCTTCGTTGGTTAGATAGGCCCTAGCTTCAGATACATTGGTCTTTATACCAATGTTCATGACTTTCCTTCGTACTTCTTCACATTGGATTGTTGTACATACACTGGTGAAGGAAGGCAGTTTAGTGTTCATAAGTATGTAGCTTCGTAGGTCTTCATATTCTGCATCGAGACTTAACAAGAGTTGGAATATCTTGTATTCTTCTGCCCTCTTCAGTAGCACAGATGCTTCAGTTGTATAGGGTCGATACAATTCCAACTCATTCCACATGCTCTTCATGCTGCCTAGAAGTTGTACAAAAGGCTTTCCTTTTTGTTGCAGGTTGGAAATGTCCTTTTTTAATTGAAACACACGTGCAACATTGTTCTGACTACCATACATTTCCTTGACAGTCTCCCATAGCTTGAATGATGATTCAGAATAATTGAATATTTCAGCTAGTTTACGTTCCATGGAATTTAGGAGCCAGGACATAATTAGCTGATCCTTGCATAGCCAGGTTTCATAAGTTGAAGAGGAAGAATCAGGAACTTCGATGCTTCCATTTATAAACCCTAACTTGGACCTTTCACCTAGGGCAAGACTTACTGCTCTTGACCAAGGCAAGTAATTAAACTCATTCAACAAGATTGAGCTTAATCTTTGATTAGGGTTGACATCCATCTTAGACACATTCAAGGAGGAAATGACCTATGAACTTTCAGCTTCAGACCCAGAAGGATTTTCTTTCGCCATATTGAAGGTTGAATAAGATCGGATGATAGTAATGCAGAAGCAGGTTATTTTCCCTGCTCTAATACCATGTTGCTTTTCAAAGATTGTTTTTGTATTGCTTTTCTTATCTGCAACGCAACTCTACAGCCAAATATAAGGAGGCTATCCTTCTTTCCTTAATTTATGCCATAATCAGAGGCTTTAGGAAAGCTAACAGCAGCTCCTTGAATTAAGGAGTTGACCACTATACAAGAATTGCTAAACATAAGAAAAAGAAAAGACAGCCGACACTTAGAAAACAATAACTAAATCCCTATTGTCCAAGACTTCCAATAGGTACGAATGGGAAATTGGAGCGTTAGTCCATCAATTTTAGTCGAGCTTTGCTCTCTGAATCAAAAGTCCAAGAGTATTGGTCTAGAACTTGTCACAATGTGAAACAACAATCCTTTTGAGGTTACAACTATGGTCTCTTATTTCCCTTTAAAATGTTTTATTTTGTAAGATAAAAAATGTTTTATTTTGGATGAAGGTTGTCACGGTGCTATCCAAAATAATTATTACTACACATTTTAATAAATTTACGATACAGACAGAATCACTTTGCATCCAATGTCTCCACATACATTCAATAATTCACACATGAAAACTTGGAATCAAAATTCTCCATTAGAACTGAAAGCATCTCCTTGGCGTAATGCGGTTATCTCTTGCTCGACTAAACAGAACAAACATCAGAATTAAAATTCTACAAGACTCAACACTTACATGAGTAATGAAAGAAAACAGGAATATGGTTTTGATTAGAGAACACTAAACTTGTTCGTTACATCATAATTAAGCGATTAGTTGCAACAGTCAATACGAAAGCATATCTGGAATTACTAATCTTAATGCTACCAGTAGCAATTACACTAAACTTTTTGCATCAGACAACATAACAACAACAACAGGCCAACCGTATTCACTGTATGATGTTCTGAAGCCTGTTTGTCAAGGAAGAAACACAAGGCAGGTGAGATTTGTCAAACAGAATTTCCATGACCTCTTGGACCACTTCACCTTTTCTTCCTCTTAGCACCTCCCTCACAGCGCCCTCGTCAGGCTCAAATCCATTGCCCTTCATCTGATTCAAAAACTCTCTTCCCTTCTCCACTCCCTTGTCCCTCTGCCGAGTAAAGCCCTCAAACACTGCTGTGTAGGTACCTGCGTTAGGATGCATTTTCTTTTTCATCATATCCAGCAAGTTAACCTTGGCAGACTTAAACAAGTTTGGATCAGCAGAGAGTGCCTTGATGAGGACACTATAAGTGTACAAGTTATGAGTGATCTTAGCCGCTAACATGTGAAGGTAGGCATCGAAAGCTCCCTTAATCTTGCCAGCAGCAACATAGGCCTGGATGATAGTTGTGTGCATGACAAATGAGGGATATATGCCCGTCTCAAAGACCGGCTCAAAAAGCTCAAAGGCCTCATCCCCATAGCTATCATCCACCAGACCACTGAGCATATCAAATCCAAATTTCATGACTGCCTCTCGATCGATGCGCCACTTTAAGAAGATTTCTTTCATCTCCTCATCATCGATTCTGGTGGCATATTCGAACATCCTGAATGTATCAACTGCATCTTCAAGATGGTCGTGGAACTCAAAATAACTTGGGTTGTCAAGCACAAGACCCTTATCTTTAATTTGCTTCATAAACTCTATGGCCTCCTCTATCACCTTCGTCTTGCTGTCCGACTGGCAGGCAATGGCCTCCATCACGAGGGTATAGGTACCGGAATCAGGCTGCATTCCCTTCTCAAGCATTTGTAGAAAGTACTTCTTGGCATACTGAACAGCAGAGGGGCAAAGATTATGGAAGGCGTGCATCTTGATGATCATATTGTACGATTCAGCCTTAATTGGGATCCCATATTCTAACATAAGCAAGATTGTTTCCAAGTCTTCTGGGTCGCCTTCTTTGCCTGATATACTGCAAAAATGGGTGCAATCAGATATTGCAATGGCATGTTAAACAATGACAGCAAGTATGTTAGATAATCTGGAACGAAATCTAGAATTGAGTGAAGGACTAAACCAGCTACATTAGGTAGACTCCCTTTTTTATATGGATCGAAATTGGTTGCTAACTACATAGCATAGCGATCAATCAGCACACAACAAAACTTGGATGTACTCACCATCTTTCTCCTTTAAGACTTTTATCCTCTTAGCTAGCACAGCCTCAGCAAACTCCATGTACTCCATGTCCTCTGCCTTAGCTCCCTTGGACATGGCTTCATAGATATCACTATTAGGTATTATTCTCTTGTCCAACATCTCAAGAAAGTATTTCCTGGCAATCAGAACGAAATCCGAGTCAGCAGACAATGCCTTGATCAGTACACTGTAAGTGTACAAATTGGGGTCGACCCCATTGGCCAACATGTGCTTGTAAGCCTTGAGAGCACCATTAGCCTTCCCAGCATTGGCGTAGGCCTCAATCACGACAGTATGGATGGCCACGTCGGGAATTATTCCCCTCTTGTTCTGTTTATAGAATTCATTGGCTTGATCAACTTGGTTGTCCTTTAACAAACCATGATACATTCTCCATGCTTCTTCCACAATCCAATTGGTGCGCATCTTTTCAAATGTTTGTTGCATTTCCTTATCATTAGTGTCTTTGGTAGCACTTTCAAACACATTCCTTTGACGAAAAGCAGCTTCAACTAGGCCTTCAGTGATAAATGGAATTTCTTGATCCCTCTCAGCTGTATGAAAATCATCTGGAGGAAGCACAAACCCTTTAGCTTTAATCAGCTCTCCAAACTCCTTTCTATCTCTGCCCTCATCAAGTTTCTCAAACAAGGCAATGTAGGTGCCAGAAGTTGGCTGCAATCTTTTGTCCAACATTTCCACAAAGTACATCTTTGCAAACTTAACGAAATGTGGAAAATTAGGGTCCCTAAGGGAGCAAGAAGCAAGTTCCTTGATGATCATGGTATAGGTGTACGCATTGGGGGTTATCTCGTTTGCTAACATCTTCAGAAACACTTTGCAAACATCACTAGTTCTTCAGGCACTAGCATAGGAGTCCATGACGGCGGTGAGGGGGACAACCTTGGGAACAATACCATTGTTGCCGGCCTGGGACCCGATCTCAGCAGCCACGTCAAGGTTGAGGCCGTATCTGGTCAATTCGACAATCATCTTGATTGTCTGTGCGCACATGCTTTCTTGGGTCAACATGTTTTGGAGGATTTGGTCGTAGTCTTTGGGGGCATATTTCATATCGTCCAATTGCTTCAAGTCGCTCAAAGAGAGGTTGCTGGTGGTCTTGGAGGAAGACGCCATTGCTGAAAATGAAAGGAACTTGTGATCGAAAACAAAGAAAATGACAAGTTTGTCAGCCAAAAACTAGTGAAAGAAGAGAGCTTTGTCACCAGAAACCAAGAAAATGAGACAACTTGTATGCAAAAACAAAGAAAATGAGAGAGCTTTATGTCAGCACTGTAAATCCATATGAACCCTAACTCATTGAACAAACGGGATACTCTTAAATCTTTTAGCAAGATCTGGAAACTAAATGTATAACCAAACAAGATGATGAAAATACACGCCTGCTGCTTGTGAGGAAAAATAAAAGCAGAGAACTTGACAACACTTGTGGGCAAAACCAAAGAAAATGAGAGAACTTGGGAGAAAAAACAGAGAAAATGAAAGCTTTTGAGCAAAAACTAAGAAAATGAGAGAATTAGTGACTAAAAACTAAGAAAATAAGAACTCTTTTGGCCAAAATCAACGAGAAAATGAGAACAATTGTGGGAAAAACCAAAGGAGAGAATTAGTGACAAAAAAAACTAAGAAAATGAGAGGGCTTTTGAGCAAAAAACCAAGAAAACAAGAGAATTAGTGACAAAATACTAAGAAATGAGAGAGCCTTTGAGCAAAAACTAAGAAAATGAGAGAATTTGTGACAATAAAACTAAGAAAATGAGAGAGGTTAGAGCAAAGGCACAGGAAAGGCGACAACTTTGGTGCAAAAACAAAAAAAATGGAAAGCTTTTGAGCAAAAACTAAGAAAAGGAGAGAGCCTTTGATTTTATTCAACAAAACATAAATCCCAACCAAAATGCTACAAAATAAGTAAATGATCAACCAAACCAACAAGAAGACAAGAGAAAAGAAACAAACCTGAAAATGCTTCCGGTGGAATGGATTCGTAGCTGCTGCGAGTGGAGCTTTTAGTATTTGGAGGAAACAAAGCAGAGAGCTTGAGAGGGATTTTTCAATATTTTTTTCAGTGAAAAAAAAAATGACGCCTGAGAGAATCTTAAAGGAAGATGTCAAATTTGCCACGTAAGCATACAACAGTTAAAAATGGCAGCAAACTCTGCTTTGTTTCCTACGTGGCAATTTTGACATTTTTTTTTAAAGATGCTCTCAGGAGTCATTTTTTTTTCACTGAAAAAACCCTCTCAAGCTCTCTGCTTTGTTTCCTCCAAATCCTAAAAGCTCCACTCGCTGCAGCTACGAATAATATCGTGCCATGTGAAAGATGAATTAAAAGGAAGGATATGTGATTTTGGTTCTAGCTGGTTCAAATGAGGAAAATAACTTATGTGCAACGGGTATTCCAACACAATGATCTTCCGGATCACTAACGTAATGCCAAGTGTAAGTCTATATTCACATGACATTATATGATTGAGTCGAATATAACAGTCGCGGTATACCCGTTAGATGTAAAAATACTTTCACATAGAGCAGAGAAATGGTGCTATAATGCTTCCGTTTGAATTAATGACTGTCTGTGTGTACGATTGAATCAGCCATATTGACCAAAAATTAAAATCAAGGGAGTGGTCTGGCTTCCCAATAATATCGTGCCATGGAGCTTAATTGGTTGTAATTATAAGTTAAATCTTTTTTTTCTAGTTTGGTTTGGAATGCGATACGAGCGATATTAAGAGAAGAAATCTCACTAAACCTCAAAATTCTTCCAATATTAAAGAATAAGTGATGATTTAGTCCTTAAATTGCTATTTGAATAAAAATTAAGTTTCTAAATAATGATTTTTGGGGCTATTATATCCAACTAATTTTCCATCAAGTTAAGTTACATGACTTGCTTGTAACACAGAATGAATTTAGGAACTCAAATTCTCTAACCCAATTAGGAGTAAAACAACAAAGAAAGAAAAGATTAGAAAGACCGTTCTAGCAGTTAGTTACCAACAATTTAGCAAAAATAAACCAATTTTAATTCAATGAATCTCCCAAAAACAAGAAAAAACGATAGAGCCAACGCCAATGGCGCACGAGGCCTACCATGCCGAGGTTGATGCTTAAAGCGAGTGTAACAAGCGCTCATCTTCCCATCAATATGGTCAGTTTATTTCCCATCAATGTGGAACAACACTCAAATTTGAACAAAATCAGAACCATATGTGCTGGTGTCTGTGATCATGAATCATCAGTGGTACGTCTACGGAATGTATCATCCTGCAACTTTCTTTTTGTTTCGAAGCAGCGAATATCAACCAAAACTGCAAACAGACATGGCTTATTTGATCCTTTACGTGTGTTCGTAGATTCTTTTATGGCTGAGATACATGAAAAATGAATGATATTGATAATTTACAAACATTGACTACATTGAGCCTGTTGTATAAACATTCTCTGACTACATGTTGAGCCTGTTGCAAAACCAACCCAAAATATTCACGCGAGCTTCATAGTTCAGCATTCTACGACACTAATTCCAAGAACGACGAAAGCATTTTACCGATGCCACACCATTGTTTTCTCCACAATGCAGCTTCAAAGGGACTCCTTTTCTGGATATCCTGTATGGAGGAGGAAGTGGATAAATAGATCCAACACCCACAACTACAACAGATTTGAGGCAAAGTTAGAGCCTCCCACAAATAATAGTCTTGATTCTCGAGCTGCACGTATTCGTAAAACTTGGAAGCATTCCGACAAGACAAGGTTTGAAACAAACCATGAAGGTAACTTGAAGTTAAAACAAGATGAAAACATATTCCGCCAAGCTACGGAAAAAACTGGAAAATCAGCAAAGAAAGAAAAGAGGAATATGATTTACACACCAATCACATAAAACTGGAGAAAACAATGGTACAAATTAAACATACGCCAACATTCCTTCTAGGCTTCCACCATATATTACCCAATTATACATAAGAGAGGAAGCAATATCGATCTCTGATGCCCCGAATAAAGGCAATGCCGTCACAAAAACTCTTCAGCTGTGTTCAAGTCATTCAATATTTCAGACTTGACTTGTTCAGGCAGTGGAGCAGATGGCCCTGCCTTGGAGTAAAATCCGGCCAACGATCTTATTGCTTTCTCTATCTCAACGTAAGATTCCTGCAAAAGTGAACCAATCGAAAGGACTTTAGATTATTCTTAGCGATCAATCAACTAACTCGACAATTCCATTCCATGTCTTCGAACATACACGCAAACTAATTAGCTATATATACCTCTTGAGCCACCTCTTGTTGTCCTCTCCAAGTGCTCAAATACTCTCGAATCGATTCCTTCGCTGCATCTGCAGTTCGTCGAAATTTAGCATTATCCTTGGTGTCTTCGTTCAGTGATTCACGCAGTGTCTTCACAACCTCTTTTGCCGACTTCAAGTAAGCCCTTGGCAACACTTTTCCGGACTTTGTTTTCTCATTGGGATCGAACAGTGTTTTAAGAGCACCTATAACTCCATCATTTTCCTCTTCGCCATTTGACTTGTCATCGGCCCAAACCGGCGATGGTGCTAAGACATTGCTGATGGTTAAAACCGTTGCAATCGAAGCACCAGCACACGTTACAAAATGTCGGCGACTTGATGAAGCTTCTTGAGAGGGTAGCTCACACCTGGACCGCACTTTATCTGCGATGTTGCAAAACAATAGTCAAAAGAGAAAAAGCTGCCTAATGACTTCAACTATGGCCTTGCATAAGGAAGCATTATGCAGTCATATATCAACAAAAAAATGACGTGAGGAATTTTGGGTAGCCATTTCTGTGAGAAGTACTAAGGTCTCCATTTCAATTCAATCTTCCACACCAGGACGCGTGGATGGAATTCGTCCGCAACCACTGGGTTACCGGAGAACTGCAGCCTAACTACAATTCAATTGGTACAGGAATAGCAGATATATGAAACAAACTTACACTGTTTGGCAGGTTTGAAGGTATTATTTTCCCTCGTCCTGAAAAGTACGGGGAGGCAGATCTTTTCTGCAAGAAGAGCCATATTCTTCATCTTCAACTAATCTCAACCAAATGCGAGAAGAGCCATATTTGCACAGAATTTCACCTTCAGTGGGAGCAGCTTGTGGAGTTTAGTTTCTGCCTCAGCTTCTTGCTTCCAAACTCTGCGTCTTCTGGTTTATCTTGTTGCCGGGGGATTTTTATCCAATGGGACACGTCAAGATATTTTGATAAACGTGAAGGGTACAATGGTAATTTGATTGCTCCCATTGATGCTTTTATATTTGCACCCCTAAACTTTTGCAAAATTGGCTATAGAGCCTAAACCCTAAACACTAGCAAAAATTCATAATTACTATTTGATGTCTAGTTATTTTTATTTTTCTAAGGTTTAACAAGTCTGCTATTATTAAGAGAATCGTATTTGTTTACCATTTTCTAACAAGTTTAAGAATTAAGCATGTCACAACCCATCCTGGAATTTACTGAATTGAAGGGTATTTTCGTAAATTTTCACTTTAGGCTAGATATTTTGAAATGGGTTTGCTTTTGATCTTAATTGGTGTGCCCAAGGGGGTGGCACCCTTTGATTTTGTCCCCAGCCTAATTTCACTTTCCCTTTCTTCTCTCTAAGTTCCTAGTCCTCTCTCTCTCTCTCACTTTAACTCTCTCTCAAAATAGTTCACTCTTCCCTCAGCCCTCTCACAGCTCACTCTCATCCTTTCCTCTCCCGAGTTTCACACACACGGCACCACACCCACACACTCCAACCTTCTCTCCCTCAGACATTCTCACCTCCCTCGTTC